TTCTGGTATAATTCCCAATAAAAAAGTAACTGGTTTAAAGTCTATATGTTTTTGTGTCATTTTCTCCAACCACGTGTGGATCTTAGTCCAACATCTTTTAGCTTCTGTCCACCACATATGGTAATATGAACCAGGTGTCTGATAACATTTCCCACACTTTTCTGATTTATTCTTGAACATTCTTGCTATTCTCTTGGGGGGGGGGTAGATGCCACCTGTAAAACATCTTATACAAATTTTCTTTATATGATGTTGACATTGTCATTTTGTAATTTTGAGACCACAATTTCTGCCCATGCGCTAAATCAAATCCCATGGCCAAAAATTTTTCCCCAAGCTATTATATTTCCTTTACATTGTTCTTCTAACTTAACCTCTAGTAAGTGTCCATAAATTTTTTTAATTACTTTTTCATCAGTACGCATCAAAATTTTATCTAACTCAGTCGTTTTATCATAAAAACCTTCCTCTTTACAGTCCTTGTCATAACTAGATTGTATTTGCACATATGAAAACCAGTTCATCTTTATAGCTTCCTTTTCCAGTTCTTGCATAGATTTAAGTACACCCTCTGCATTCAATATTTCACCATATCTGTTTGTTCCTTTTTGTATATCATTGCGCATGAAAAGGCTTCAATAGTTGATAGCCAGACTGGAATTTTAAAATAATATTGTCTTTTAATCTTCTCCCAATTTAGTAGCAAAGCCTTCCATAGGTAATGTCTTCTAAAATACCCCTGTGTTTTAGTTCCCTTGTACTATAAAAATGCATGTCATCCCAACAATAGATCATGTCTTTCAAGGGTCAATAATCAATAATTAATAATAATTAAAAATTAATAATCAATAATTAGTGTTATCTATTCTTTAACCCACGTCAAACTTGCTGCCTGATGATATAGTTCCCAATTGGGCAGGCCCAATCCTCTTGTTCTTGTATCTTGTAACAATTTTAGATTTATTCTTGCTTTCCCCCCTGCCATATGTACTTCAACACTATTTTATTTAAGTCATCAAAATATTATTTTCCTAGTCTAATTGGAATCGTCTGGAACAGATATAAAATTCTAGGTAGAATGTTCATTTTAGATATTCTCCCTATTATCGAAAGTGGTAGATTTTCCCATTTTTCAAATCCATCACAATCTGTTGTTTGAGTTTATAGTAGTTGTTGTCTTTAAGAGTGCTGCATCTTGCTGTTAAATATATCCCCAAATATTTAACCTTGTTCGTAACTTGCATCTCTAAGATTTCCGCCAACTCTTCTTTATGTCTTGTTGGCATATTCTTTGTCAAGATCTTCGTTTTGTCTTTATTTATTGTTAATCCTGCCACTTTTCCATATTCTTCTATTCTTTCTATCAATTTAGATGCTGTTTCTAATGAATCCTCTAGAATGAAGAGCTTGTATTCTTCCTTTTTGATTTTCATTTCTTTTCCTTCTCTGACATTTCTATTTAAAACTTCTAATGTTAAGACAAAAAGTAATGGCGATAATGGGCAGCCTTGTCTCGTCCCTTTCTTTATTTCAATAGACTCTGTCAAATCTCCCATTTATCATTATCTTAGCTGTTTAATTATAATATATAGGTTTGAGGTTTATTCGATTTATATGCCGCCCTTCTCCCAAGGTCTCATCTCTTCCAGTTGTAACAGCATAAAGCGCCAATTCACGTTGTCAAATGCCTTCTGAGCATTCAAAAACATCAATGTCAATTGTTTTTCAGGATATGCCTCATAATATTCCAAAGTATATAAGATTATCCTCATATTATCTTTAATTTGTCTCTTTGGTAGAAATCCATTTTGATCAAAGTGAATGAAACTACTTAAGTATTTTTTAAGTTGTTCTGCCAATATTGAAGCAAACAATTTATAATCTGAATTTAACAGGGAGATTGGTCTGTAATTCTTAATTTGTAGTAAATCAGCCTCTTTTGGTAAAAGTGTAATATATGCTTCTGACCATTATTTGGGTATTCTTGTATCTGACATCATCTCATTCATAACTTCTAATAATGGAAGAGACAACGATTTCTGCAGGGTCTTATAAAGGTCCGCTGGTAGCCCATCCGGGCCCAGGGCCTTCCCGTTCTTTCGTTTTTTAAGTGCTTTGGTTAGCTCCATCATAGTTATTTTGCTGTCTAGCATTGTTACAGTTTCTTTGGGTATCTGGGGTAAGTTGGCTTCCTGTAAGTATTATTTCACTCCTGCCTCTTCTGTATTCTCATGATCATATAGTTTACAGTAGTAATCTTGTATATATTTTTTCTTCTCTTCATTCCCATAACAGGTTTATCCTTGATCATCCATTAACTGCAGTATCTTCTTTGAGTCTCCCTCTTTTCTAAGTTTGTATGCCAACCATCTGCCTGGTTTATTAGCATTTTAAAAGTAATTCTGTTTTGCACCCCTAATTTTTTAGGGCTAATTCCTCTTTTTCCATTAACCCAATTTTATGTTTAATCGTATCCATTCTTACTTTAATGTCCTTCTTTTGTGGGGAATTCTGTAGTTCTTTTTCAAGACCCTTCTATTCATTGTCAAGTCCTTTAAGTGTTTGTCTTTTCTTTATATTTCTCTTTCTTGTATAGTCAATTATCAGGCCTCTGGTATAGGCCTTCATTGTGTCCCAGAGGTTCTTCATTGATGTTGCCTCTATTCTATTTTCTTTAAAGAAAAAGGCCAATTCCTTTTCAATTTTCTGTGCAGTCTTTCTCTTTTAATATAGTGTTGTTTAATGTCCACCTAGATCTTTTTCTGTGTCTTTTCCATTTAATTATCATTGGGTTGTGGTCTGGCCAAGTACTTGTTTCAATCTCAATTTTCTGTATGTTGTAGGCCGATTCAGTCTCTACCCATATCATATCGATTCTAGAATAAGATAAATGTCTGTTTGAATAAAAAGTATATTGTTTTTTAATAGGATTTCTCCCTCTCCAAACATCCTTTAAACCTGTCTCATCGATCATTTTAAAAAGGGATTTAGGGAGTATCTTTCTATTTGACTTTGTTGTTTTTTGTGAGTTATAGTCCATATTCTTATCTACAATTCCGTTAAAATCTCCCATCATACAAATAGTTTTCTGTAAAATTCATCTTGCTTACCATTAGGTGCATAGATTGCTGTTAGGAGCATTTTCTTATTATTGTTTGTAATTTCCACCATCAAAATTCTTCCATCATCATCTGTATAAATTTGTTCCACTGGGATTGTATCTTTGATGTAAAGTATCACTCCTCTTTTCTTACGGGTTGCCAATGAAGTAAACATTTCTCTTTGGTTGCCTTAATAAGTATTCATGTTGCTTTTGA